GGGGGGGGGGGGGGGGGGGGGGGGGGGGGGGGGGGGGGGGGGGGTGGGGGTGTGGGTGTGGGTGTGGGTGTGGGTGTGGGTGTGGCTTTTCTTAACTTCAAACACATGCACGCCCTCAGCAGACCCAGAGCCAGAGGCAGACCCACACCAACATCCACCCACACCCACACCCACACCCACACCCACACCCGAACTAGCTTGAAGTATTTTGAAGTAGCGTTTTCCCCCTTGAGTATCTGCGGCAAAGAATCCATCTACAAGAACCGTTGTCTAACCAATACTTACCTATGGAACACACACAATGAGTAGCTTTCTGGTCAAGCTTCAGACGAGCGACTAGACGATACTTATGCACCTTTTGATCACATTTCCACTCGAAAACACTGATTTTTGAGGCATCTCGATTGAGAAAACAGACAAAAAAAGTAGGTGACCAAAGTTGAGCTACCTTAGTCATAATTTTGCAGACGCTGTGGTATTCACCGGGTATGATGAAGTGGTTGCCACATGAGTGGAAAATAACCGCAGACTCATTGGTAAACCATATGAGTGCAGTTGTAATAAACCCATTGCACGTATTGTAAAGGACTAAACCATTAAGAGGAGGCAAATTATCAATTTTTTTAAAGCGATCGTTCTCAGGATTATTGAAATGATAGAGATAAATATGCGATTGTCCCTCAGAATAGTAAACATCCGTTTCAGAGTTCAACAAGATGCTCTTGTTTCCAGGTTTTTCCTTCAATGTAGTCACTGATATAAAATGCACTCGATCACTGTCCATCATTTGATTATATCTCACATCATTCGTACGTAAATAGTGAGTTAAGCCACTTTTAAGTGTAACTTTGATCACCGCAAATTTGTGTGCTGCTTCGAGGATAGAAGAACACTCCAGGATGGGCTCATCGAATTCATATTGTCCAATCAATGCACTGTTCTTATAATGCCAAACATCGATCGATTTACTGCCTTTGGAGCAGACGAGCAGCGCACGGCTCCTGATGAATTGCATGTGTATCAAGTCATCCATATTCAGTTGCAGCGTGCATTGTTGATTTGAAACCTCGAGCACCAGAAGAGATCGTGAAGAATAAACGCAGACATATAGAAGCATATTTAGAAAGCTGTACTCGAGCGATGCGAACTCGTTTGAGGGCATCACGTAATCGCGAATATGACATGTCAAATAATGATCACATGAATCAAAGATAATAAGTTTTTCTGCTGTAAGTACACATAATTGTGTCGTCGTTACATCAATGGCGTGAACGGGACCAACCGCGTATCTGTTCACACACGCATCAGAAGAACATGTCTCATTTTCCAAAATGCGGAGCGCACAGTTGTCCAGGCACTGTAGAAGCAGATCGTACGTGCACTTGGGTAGTACATCGACAAGAGAGGCCAATCGTGATGAAAGTTCAAAGGCAAAGTTGTCGAGATATTTGTCAAGGACAAAAGAGCAAGCCTCATATTGTGTGAGAAGAAATTGAAGCTCTTCCTGACCTCTACCCTGAAAAGCAAAGTATCGATCACCCATCTTGTAGCAATGAAGATAACTCGACATAAACTCATAGTCATACAGGAACCAAGCTTGGCACCTTGATTTCGTCATGCAGAGTTGGTTGATTCGTCGCATATTGTATACGCGACCTTTTCTTTTGTCAGTTCTTACATAAGGTAGCTGTTTCGTAAGACATCGGTTGACATGAAGAGAAGCATCATGATACTTCTTAAGCAGCTTTTGAGATTTAATTTCGAACGGCTGATCGTGCAAATTCGGAAAGTTTCCAAGATTACCGGCATAGTAAGCACAATGAATTCGCTCGACTTCCGAATTGTACATATCAAAGTCTCGAAAACTGCGATGATAACTAGATAGGAAAGATATTTCAAAAGCAATGCATAGTGAAAGTCAAACATCTACTTTCTAAAGAGTATCACATTCATCAAAGGATGGGGGCGCATAAGAAGTCAATTTGGCCGCTTGGACTTTTTTAAGCACAATTTGGTTGAATTATATTCAGGATGAAAGCACGTGATTTGGCAAACATTTTGCCAATTAATTTCTGTCACTTTGATCAATGTATAGTAGACCAAGATCACATAGCAAATCGGCTAAAATGAGTCTAAAAACTTGATCCATTACTTCGATCAGGCGCCCATGTACTGTGAGGACAAATATGTGAAAATTCATTCATAATACATTCGATAGGCTATACTGTGGGCTAGATTTTTTCTCCTTCAACCATCTTTCTAAAGCGCATTGTGGCTTGCTACGAAAGTCAACATTGACCACAATCAGAGTATATCATGTTCATGTGATAATCTTTCTAATGAGCACCCTTTTAGGCCAGGCTCTATTCTATCTCACTGAATAGCTCTTTTGAAGCGCCACAAAATTGTATATTTTTCAAACCTGCAAAACACTGACCACTTAGGGTATGTTGAGCACACAAGTCTTGAGACGTCATTTTTTGCCTTTTTAGCTGACATTTAACATTTTTCAGTCAAAAAACGAATTTCAGGAAAACATCATTAGAACAATGGAAAACAAGTTCTGAGAGTGCAAAATTTTAGTAGAGGATAAAAGAGCGTTTTACACAACAATAAGGACGGGATTTTGATGAAATTCATTGTTTGACTGAGTCTTGAGGGAGACCACAGGTGAATTTTTCGACAAAAACAAAGTTCATGAGAATATTTGAAACACACATAAACCGACTCAGTTTCCTATGCTGATTCCAAATGTGTTAGAAATGGTGGCTTGAAACGTAGCTTTTTGGCTGAAAAATGTTAAATACCAGCTAAAAAGGCAAAAAATGACGCCTCAAGACTAGCGTGCTCGACATACCCTAAGTGGTCAGTGTTTTACAGGTTTGAAAAATATACGATTTTGTGGCGTTTCAAAAGAGCTATCCAGTGAGATAGAATAGAGCCTGGCTTAAAAGGGTGCCCATTAGAAAGATTATCACATGAACATGATATACTCTGATTGTGGTCAATGTTGACTTTCGTAACAAGCCACAATGCGCTTTAGAAAGATGGTTTGAGGAGAAAAAATCTAGTCTACATTATGACCCATCGAATGCATTATGAAGGAATTTTCACATATTTGTCCTCACGGTACACGAGAGCAAAAATGATCGAAGTAATGGATCAAGGTTTTAGACTCTTTTTAGCCGATTTGGTATGTGATCCTAGTCTACTATACATTGATCAAAGTGGCAGAAATTTTATGGCAAAATGTTTTCCAAATCACGTGCTTTCATCCTGAATATAATTTGACAGGTTATGCTTAAAAAAGTCGAAGTGATCAAATTAACTTATTATGCGTCTCTATTCTTTGCTTCGGAATATCTTGAAGCAGTTATGCTGAAGGCACTCCAGCTGTAATTTATGGGGTTATTACTTTCCATTCTGTAAAAAAAGTTGCGGTCACTCACAATCGATCTTTGACGAAAAGCTTTCCGTGCAGGAGTTGAAAGACGTGCACTCTGTATATAAGACAATAGAATGTACTCACAAGTAGATCACCCGGATATTGTCGACATCTTTTTCCACGAAGTACTTGTGCATATCATTTCGGATGCGAATCCACAGAGTACTCGGCACTCGGAAAATGTTGAGCGGTGGGAGATAGTGGACAAAAATTGACCGCAGAACTTCGTTGTCGGCACTAAGCATGTCTTCCAATTCAATCTCGCTGAGACCACCCGCTAGCAATAAATAAGACATCGCTCGTCTAAACAAAACTGCACCGTGCTTATTGCATAATCGAGCATATAAGTATCTGATGGCATCGCGTGTTGTTTCTATTTTGAGAAACCATTGATCAGGGTTGTCATCGAACGAGTGCCATGCCAAAGTCATGTCGTACACTAGCGACAGAAGCAGTGGCGTGGGCTCCGACTCGCCAAGCTTAGTCAAAGGCTTTAGCTTTGGCAGCAACCAATCCATTTGAAGCAATGTAAGACGCCGTCGATCGCGTTCCAACCATGACCGCAGAACCTGCAGAGCCAGATTTTTGTCAAAAGCCGTTATTTCAACAACAGTAGCATCACCAAAAAGAGACTTCAACCCCTCGAGAATATTGTAATCCGTTTTCTTGTACGGTCTTTCGTCAGAGACCTTTGGTATAGTGGACAGAATGCATTTGATATTCTGTGGATACTCGACAGGGAGCCACTTTGAACAATCATAATCTTCAACTTGCAGCTGATCAATAGAATCGAGGAGGAGAATGAGTTGTTCGCTCATAGGGATTAGATTGAAGATCTGTTCAAGTTTCTTCTCTAGCTCCTGAATAGTCGTTGAGTCATCGATAGGAAGCAGGTCGAGATGATAGATAACACAAATCTGTTGAATGATGGATATAAATGGTCGACGGATGTCGTTCGATAACGGTGTAGCACCGAGGAAACGAATGATAACAGAAACAGAGCTCGGGTTTGGAAACCAGTCTGGAACCTGGAAATAGCAGGTGTGAAATTATACTGGTTCAATGCAAAATTCACCTCAATGGCCACTTGAGCCATAATAGACGATTTTCCTGTGCCAGACTCCCCGTATATAGTACATGGTCGCGATGCATCCGACAAAACAAAAGCTTTGATCTATTGAGCATAACAGAAAGCTTAGTAATAAAGCAGAATTTGTTCACCTTCTCTAAAATGTCGTCTCTTGGACAGTAACGTTCATTGAGCATTCTGCATTGAATCGCGTGCTGGAGGACTTCGTCGTACAAATTGTCTTTTGGTCGAATTTGTGCCATATGAAAATCAATTTGTCGTTTGATAACAGCGTAAAAATCTTTTTGAAACTCACTTAGGTATGTTTTTCTGCTTGACTCATCTCTCCAATTGACCTGGAAAGCAATGATGTTTACTAGACTGTATCTGAAGGCTATTTGTACAAACCCGATAAGTTAATATATTTTCGGGGAGCAACGCATTTTGAATGGAAATCTTCGTGTCGTGAAGTAGTTCTCGTGTTGTTTCATCCTCTGTGTCATTAAATTTCTGCTTCAGCTTCAAGTCAAAGTCAGTGATGTCTTCGATTTCCCGGAAAAAGGCGGCCATTCGATTTGAGTTACCTTTATTGTTTTCCAGTGCCCGATAAATTTCCTTGGCGGTTACTGAACATTTCATTGTTTAGAGTAAGGAATACATACATGAAACGCTCACCTGATATGTGAAATTCATTTCGTTCACTTTCACTGATCGTCTTCTTTTGGCGATGGCAGAGGTCAGAGGCATGACGTAATATTGTTTGCAGTTTCTTTTCAGTCGCCTTCCACTCTTCTCTTGCGGCTGGATCGAATGGTCGAAGAATATAGACAGGATCGAGTGGGTTCTCGTCCAACTGAAATTCTTGATTAATAAAAGCTATCTCTTCTTCAGACAGAACGCTTTCAAGCGTTTGGAAAAGACGTTGTCCGATCCTTGCTGGCAGCATTCGACCTCCATATCGATGGCTCAACAGAATCTGAAGAGGCGATTTTTGTTCGCTTACTGAAGACAAAAAACTCACAACACAATTGGTAGCCAAGGAGAGGTGGCAACACTGATCAAGCTCATGCAAACACATGTCTGTAGTGGAATGGTCCTCTGCAGCCTGTTCTTGAACGCCCCAACGCATGTCAGAGTACTGGAACGAGTCGAGCTCATTGACAATGTTAGTTAAAACCAAATGGCATACCTGAAATTGTGCGTTGTATTTTTGTAAACAATATTTTCGCAACTCTGGATAAACACACTCAATAAGCGCATCACGTTCTTCGACCGTATCTGGTAGTGAAGCGAGAATGATTTCCACATCATCTAATGTAAAAGAGCGGGCTCACCTGTAAAAGTAGAACTGATAAAGATGCGCACTGAGGTCAACTTGTGATCGGCCACGTGTTTAATACAGCCACGGTAGAGATCATTGTCCGTCACCATTTGTTCAGATTTCGATTTGTCATCCATCGCCATTTACACAACTGTGAAATCTTTCGATGCGAGCTGAACTCCTTTTTCACTTTCAAGAGAGCATACAAATGAAGCTTACCAACAATATTCTTGTTATAGACCACTAGAGAAACTAAAACGTTTTTAAAGTGCGAGACTTTTTGGAAATTCAGATGATATAGAGAATTGGCTGAAAGCGGATCATTCCAAAATAATATGATTGTTACGCT